ATAACCTCCAGAACCTGTTGGATTTCAAAACCTAACTACAGAAAGACTGAGGTTTGCAATAGCAGCGAGGAACCGCTGTAACATCAGTGATTTAAGGCAAGCTGTTAGCAGGACCAGTACGTTCACGTTCCTTTTACCTGTCGTCTCACACGCCCCCCTTCTCTTGAAATATGTGCCCGTACAGATAGTGCAAGAGGTCACACCCCAAAAGCAGCCCTCAAACTGGAAGAAGACTCTTGTAGCAACAGTTGCTACAGCATAGCATCTATTTGGTATTTGCAATGACAGTAATTCTGTTGTAGTTTTCCTTGGGGTGGAAAGCAAGGGACACAGACGTGTTGCATGAAAAAGAGACACCACCTAAATGCATTAATGACCACAACAGAGCACTGAAGCCACTGTAGCATCTCCAGCGCACCTGAGAACACTCCAGCTTTGCTCAAGCATAAGGGTTTTATCCTGAGCAAGATTCTGACCTCAGGGAGGAGAAGGATGGGTGTAGCCTTTACACTTTTGCAGCCCCCATCTTTGCTGGGTGTTACAGGTCCAGTCCAACATGGAACAAAACACAGTATCTTTCATCAAGAAAAAAAATACACTCATGGCACCCAACCAGGTGGGTTCCTAAATTTTTTTCAAGGGCAAATGAAAAGGCTGATCACTCCCTCTCGGGGAGCAGCTGCTCCATTTTCAATTTATTGTCAGTACAGGTAGCCCAACCAGAGAGGAGGATGTGCGATGACAAAAGCCCAAAAGCCCCGGAGCCACATGCAGCGTCGCTCCAGTCGGTCACTCTATTGCACTCCAAAACTAGCACCTGGGAGGACCGACACTTTCCTTTGCAGCCTGACTTGGCCCCTTCAAAGGGTCAACTGCATGCAAATTAAAACCAGCATACCAAAAAGTATGGCAACTAGATAATACTTAACTTGGGTCAATTAAAAAAAAAAAAAAAATATATATATATTGGTTACTCATCCAGGCATAAAATCCTGGGAGAAAAGGATGGTGACCTTAAACTATTCAAGTCTAAGAACAAGAGGTAGAGATACCTATGTACTTCATGGTGAAGGAGTTACAGCCTTCTGCCTTACAATCTCATGTATTTCACTTCAATTGACAACATAAACCCAAAGATTCAATCTTCAATAGCCCAGAGAGAAGATTTTAACACTGGTGGTTTTGTTTGCACACAACAAAGTGTTTAAGCAGACACTTAGCTTTCAATACTTATTTGAAAAAATATTTATGATTTGCTGTATATTGAAACATTACCCTGAAGAATTTTGAGTTTCAGGTTAAGCATCTTCCTTTTTAATATGAAAGGCTAAATTCACATTTACACATTTTGAGCAGAGTGAGCTCAGGGGAAGAACCAGGTGCCCAATTTACTGAGGAACTTCTAAAAAAGGATCACACTGCAGAACACAAGGTTGCAAGACTCAGAAACTCAAAATGACTATTATTTTCCGATGAATGGGAATGACGTAACCTCAGTCAACAAATTACATCATGACTAGGTGGCTATTAACTATGTGGTGTTTCTTTAACTTTGCTGGGGTGTTTTTTGGAAACAAACTTAAAACTGTAAGGAAGATACTTATGTTGACAGCGTCATGAAAATACCAAGGTCACTAGTCAGTGCATAGCCACATCTGGGAACCACAAGTGACAGGTTAGTACCTGTCCTGGGTCCATGGGTTCTTCAGGCTCTGACAGACATGCAAGGAGTGAAACAAAAGTCACAGAGGCAAAGCTGCTGCTGCCCGCAGCACTCTGAACCTCGCACCCGACAGCCACGCTGCCCTCGGGAAGAGGGGCCGCATCTATTTGTGACCAACTCCGAGTCACTCACTCATCAGCAGAGCAGGGTGGACTCGTTTCATGCTCTTAAATGTGCTCAGCTGAAAAGCTACAGTGGTTCAGAGGCTGATTCATGAGCAGATCTGCCGTGCCGGCCTGGGGAAGCCGGCGCTCGTCCCGGGACAGACTGAGCTGCCCCAGGCTTCAGCTGTCTGATTTCATGCCACCTGCCACACCTTCATTTTTTTTTCCTGTGGTTCTTTCATTATGATTGCACAGTATTAAAAAGCTATAATTCTCCATATAGAATAGCACCAGCAGCAAATAAACTCACAATTCAGCATTCAATTGCTATTAATTTCCTCAGCCATGTTTTATGGCCAGCTATGGGTGGAATCTTTCAAATCCTTACCTGACTCAATAAATAGTCTTTGACCTCAAAAACGCACCCACACAAGTAAGAATAAGCACAACTGATGAGCCTCCAGTTGATCTGGGAGCCAAATTTTAAAGGTGTTGCAAACTATAATATGGTGCAGGTAATCAGTGTTTTCTCACTCGGGAGTAAACTTTACAGGAGTTGTATTTCTTTGTGTATAAGGGAAGGCAATAAAATGCCACAGAGTGTGGATGTCAGACCAGTTTTCCAGTATACTACTAAAACTATCTATATAGCTACCTATAGTTATTCATCCCAAGTTGCAGCAGATTCACTACATGCATCAAGTTTTCTAATGCATATGCTAATTAAAAACAAAATAAATAGTTGCAATGGTTTCAAGGATTTCATCAGCATCACTGCCTACTACAGTCCTGTGCCCTACACAGTAAAGATCAAAATTATGTAAAAATGAAGAGTGAACGTATTTGGCCTGTTCCACAGGTATTCACAGTTTAACCATTAAACAAGCATATTTTTCAGAGGCTCCAATATTGTTAAGACTTCTCAGAAGCATGTACAAAACCCCACTCCCACACGGGTACACCAGCAGTACAGAGTACGGTCTAGTCTCGTTTAGGATCATAAAATCACCGGGCAGTCCAGGGGAAGGTCTAACGCGCTCTCTCACTTTCAGCACCGCCAAAGAGTTGCACCTTCAGCTCCTGGTTCAGGAGTTTAAAACTGATACAGGTCGGGGCTTGCATTCTGTAAATGGTAATTAAAAACTGAAGTTAGGCTAAAAATAAATGGTACTTTGCTAGATAGAGCATTTGGCTATTTTTGCAAATATTCTACCCAACGGGTGGAGTTGCTCCTGCTAGGCTGAAAGCAGCAGAACAAGAGCAGGGCTGTCCTCTCATACTGAAGGCACGGGACTTCAGCCACTGAGAATTGTATGTCCTTTCCCTAACAGGAAATAAGATTTTCCCTTCCTGTATATTCACCACCACCATCTTTAAAAAGAAGCTGCATTACATTTGATACACTAAAACGGCGAAGCCTCGATGTGCTACAGATTGATTTCCTCACTGTAATCCGCATTCAGACCACAAGATAACCACCTTCCTTAAAGAGCTCTCTCCCTCATCCTTCAGAGCTGCTGCAGTTCAGCATATAAATCAGGAGCAGCCACTGCCACGACTTTGTGTGCACATGCATGCACTGGCTATCCATTTCAATAGTTTTCACACTCTGGACATTTTAAATTTCCTTTAGGGAAAAAAAATTAAGTGAAGAACAAAGCATTTAATAGCTGAATGAATGAGTAGTCTCAAACTTATAAATACAGTCTTCATTTACTATCAAATCAGTCTCCATTTGGAACTTTTGCTAACAAAGCAGTCTCTCTTGGGGAATTTTTTTCTTTTTTTCTTTTTTTTTTTTTAAATACTAGCACCAGCAAAAGTCTCACCATAAGTTCAATTACACAAGCACAAGTGCTTTGGCCTGCTTTGCTCACCAAACCAGAATAAGGTTTTGCTGCCAAACAGTGCTTGTACCATGGTATCTTAGAAGGTTGTAGTAGCAAGGACAAAGCTTTGGGCATATTTATCTATAATACAGCAAGTTCGGGGCTCCCCTCCTGCAAAGGGACAGACTCTGCTGCCTCTAGAACAACTGTGTTTGTTTTCCACAGTTTAACACGTCTCACAGCAAGAGCTCGCAAAAGCAGCACGGACCAAACTCTCCTTTTATTAGATGAAAAGAGATGCTATCTGTGGCTTGTGGGTTTGTTTTTAAACAGTTTTCAATACCCACATTTTGTTAGTGATTTGTGATCTCAGACCCAAGCTATTGCATAGGCTGCACACCAGCAAAGCCAGTGACAGAATTCAGGCGGATCCTCCTCCTCCCTCTGCTAACCCCTCTGGGGCACAGCAGATGTGCAAAGCATGCCATCCTGGATCCAGCGACAGGCTCGCCACTGAAAATCTGCTTCCCTTTACCTTTAAACCCTTGTATCACAAAAGGCATTAGATGCTATGGATGACTGTCCGGGTTTCTTTTTGTTTGGGTTTGTTTAATTGAAGCTGTTTTATGATCTCAAAATGCAGCTCTGAAAAGAAAAGGTATGTAATGGAAGTGTATCAAATTCATTAAGCCAGTACTTAGCTCTACAGAAAGCCTTGGCAATCATCCCTTTTACCAAAAGGTGTAAAAAAGTTGACATACTAAAATTAAAAAAGGTAGCATCAATAACCAAAAAAGTTTCAATCAGTGTTAATAAAACTCCCTTTAAGTCACAACAGTTTCAACAGGCAAATAGTCCCAATACAGGCATTGTAAAATAATAAATTGACTCCTATCAAAATATTATCAAATCAGTCTAAAAATGACTCATCTACACTGTTGTCATTAAGAACACATTAAGAATTCGCTTTGTCATCAGATGCCGATATTGTTGCTCCAGGAAGTGTGGAGTATTAACTGCGATTTAACAATTAAACATAGGATTTTAAAAAATTGTTTCATCAATATTAATGCAAAAGAAGTCCTCACATAGAAGTACTGTGCTTGCCAGACAAGTAAGATAATACTTCAGGTATAAATCAAACAAATTAAAGCAGAATTATACCACAGTTTTCCTTGAAGACTTAGGGTTTGTGTGTTGCTTCTGTCAATGTTTTAGCAAACTTAAGAAGCAGAAGCTTTGGTTCTTTTAGTCAAGTAAAAATATTCTCATGTAACCACAAAAATACAACTTCCAGAGAAAATGGAAGTCCATCGAGAAGCCCACTTTCAATAAAACTGAGGTAGTACTGCTCTTTTATTACATGATGTGTAAGAGATTTAGATACAAATCATCATCTACCACTCAGTTGACTGACAGGTACAGTAATTTTATAAAACAATCCCAACATTCAGTTTGAAACTCAAAAAAAAAGGAATGATCCGGACTCATTCACTAAGAGTTAGCTTAAAATGGGAATTAGCCATATTACAAAAAGCTGTTGCTTATGTTGGTTTCTTAGAGCCTTATTACCAGGGGATTAATGCATTTATAGTTAACACTGCAGTTCATCTTGGTATAAAACCTTAAAATTATTACAGCCTAAAATTTCAACAATGTAAACAGCACTACACACAGTACAGATCTGCCCTGACAGATGTAGTATGAAAAACTTTCTGGCACTGTATAATTTAGCAATGTTAATTTAACCTAACTAAATAGATCTACATTGTGCAAGAAATATCAGACTTACTTATACTAATCTGAAGTCTTAAAAAAAAAAAAAACAAAAAACCAAATGCTTAACTTGTAGCCAGGGTCAAATATTTCAGGGCAAGAGTAAAAGGAATAACCAAAATTAAGAAAGTGCCTAAAACAGGATACAGCATTTTAGAGCCCTTTCAAAGACAAGGCAGAAAAAGGTGTAAAGTAGAAAAATCTGGATCCTCGGTCATTTCCAGAAACATCCAGAGTTTACATTTCACGAAGGGCAACAGGTTGCTTTCGTCACTGCTGCGTCGACGCCGCTAAGTCTGTTCCTCCGCACACAGGCCCTCTGTGTCCGAAGACGCAATACATTTGGTTCCCTCTTCCTTTTTCCTTCGCTCCATTTCCCACTCCACAAAGGTATCGAAGAGACTCGGCCAGGCCTCGTCCTCGCTGTAGTTGCTAAGGTCCGGTCCAATCACCTGAGTAAAATTTAGAAACATGTTCCACGTGTCCCGGGAGATTCCCTTGATTCCTGAGGGGTTCTCAATTAGGAAGTGTAACCACTGGTCCAAAATGGGGGGCTTGTTTTGGGTGAAGACTAATTTCCAAAGGGCAATGGCTATTTCCCGATGCAGCGACCTCTGGCCTTCTTCAGAGTCCAGGCCGAACTGGAAGGTGAAGCGATAGAGATCCTTGAATTTATCTTCCTGCTTGGCTTCATTTAAGAGGCTGGGGAACCTTGCACAAATGCCGTCAATGCTGTCTGCATTTATTGCTTTGCAGCCTTCAAAAAACTCCTTCCTATTAAGCAAGAGAAGAGAAATTAGTGCGAGCTCTTCCTACCGACCTCGGTGCTGAACGCTTCCCATCTCCATTCAGCTAAGCCAAATCGGAAGATGGTTATCTGGACAAGACAAGGTGTGCTCTCAGCCCAGGTGGCACAAAAATCGTGGCAAGGGGAGCTATTGGAAGAGGAGATGTTTCCAAGAAATTTCTCATTGCTTGGGGAACCACAGACACCACTTGAATCTGCTGGCATTTGAAAAAGATTTTGCTGTTTGGCTTTCTGACTACTCGATAATACCACATCCAGTGCCTTTCACAATAAAAAGTGAATAAAATTTACTACAGAAGAAATGCCAAATGTTTGCAAACACCACATTTATGCACTGACGCGCCATACATAAACCAGCTTGATTCAATAATGCCCATGCTCTGGGCGAGCTGTTCTCAAGGGACAGAGCAGTTCACTGGTGGCTTTCCTGTGGTTTTCAGTTGCTCTTCCAGCCGACAAAATAAAAAGGGTGCCAACGGCAACGGTCAGCAAGGCACCTGCTGAGAGAGCGGAAGAGAGCATGGGATCACACAACACAGGCTACAACGCAACATATAAACACTGCTCGAAGCACCAGCCCTATACTAATTAGCCTACTAATAATCTGGCCAGGTGGGTAGATGGTTAGCTCTGATTTCTCTAATGCTCACAAGCAAGTGTTATAACCAGCCAACATGAACCAAACCCAGGGGAGACTGACACGGGATGGGCTGGAGGGAAGACAGAAGACGGGGCAGCGCTCAGGAAAACAGAAGACCGCGCTGCTTTCCTTGATGGAAGAAGTCGATCAGCACCCGTATCATGGAGCGTGACGTTAAACAAAGGTAACCTCTCACCACTAGATTTGCCCTCTCTCCAAGAAAATCAAAACAATATTAGTAAAACCCACGGTGGTTGTGCAGAATCACAGACACTACTTGCAATTCCTTTACCATGTTAGCAAATAACTGCGCCATCAGCCTCTAGTAAATCCGCATTAGCATTCCGGAGTAACTCATCCATTTGACACACACCCACATCCACAAAGACTCTGAAGGTGCTGGAAAAGCTGTGTTCAGGGCACAGCAAAGGCTTGGTTCAAGGCTCGGAACACCAAAGTAGATTTGAAAGTTACAAGCTTTGAGTAAAAACAGGTAGCATCACTTACACCAGTCTAGATAGACCAAAAAATAAAAAATTCATTCCCTCTCAGCAGGCCCCTGTAGGCAGCCTTTACTTGCTCTTACCTGCACACTGATAATCAAGTTGGTGGGTGGGGGGTGTTGTAGTTTTGGGTTTGGTTTGGGGTTTTTTTTCTGGTTTTAGCCATTCTGTTATTTCCTGTAGTATCACACATGCTATAAGCCTGCTGACTGACCCCCTTGTCCAGAAGGACAGACAGCACTTTAAACACCAATCACTGGTCAGACAGTATGAAACAGCTACTGGTGTCAAAAACCTTGTGTTTCCCTCCCTCTCAATGCTTTAATAGGATTACTCTTGGAAAAAGACATTAAGTGTAACACTGGTTGGGCAGAAACAATTCTTCAGGAGCAGTCTGTCATTCTTTCACAGAAGGGTAACAGAGTTGGTAACAACTACTAAGGAATCTCACATTACTTTAACGCAAAAATTAGTTTCAGTGTCCAATCTCATCACCAAGATAATGCTGGATACAGTAGAACTGCTTTTGGTAAATCAAGAATAAATGAATGTCTACAGAATCTCACTACACTGTTCATCATTAGCAGCATAATGTCCAAAACCACATTTTTGGTTCTGAAACCCACTGTGAGGGGAAGGGGAAAAGAGGACAATACAAAGCTTACCTTCTGCAGTGGTAGGAATTAATTTGATCAAAATGCAAGTGTTAGAAGAAATAAGTGAAGCTAATGAGGCTGTCTCTCCAACATACAGATGACAGGATATACTTTAACATATGAAAATAATTACAAGTTCTACAAGAACTAACCTTGTAAATTTGCACATGGTAGCAGCCTGGAATTTCCAAGCCAAAACTAGCACTTTAAATTCAGTGGGATCAACACAGAGGTCATTGCAAAATCGTTCCATTCCTTCTTCTAGTATGGCATCTTCCCGTTCATCCTTATACCTCCTAAATAACTCCCCGATCCTTTGGAGCGAAGATTCTTCTGTGCTGGAAACAGAGTCTTTCTTTGTATCTCCAGAAAACATTGGAGGCTGACTAGACTCTACAGCAGCATCCGTTTTCTTGGTCCCATTCACAAGTATATCTCCTGAAGACTTCCCGCAAGCTGAACCATGGTCATCTTTGTGGACTGCACTTCTCTTACTATGCGACTTGCTGCCGGACTCTCTTTCTCCATTTTTGCTGCCAAGGGTAGAAGAAGGATTCTTGCACTTCGTGACACACTGGCCCATGATGTTGCAAGCCCAGCTTCTAGAGCCTTGCCGTCGGACACCCTCGCAGCTGCTCTTCAACACATCTCACCATGCCATTAGAGGCAGTCAACTAACCTGAAAAACAGTTTCAGAGTCAAATTGCTGTTTCTCCACATAGAATATTGTAAGTATTAAATGCAGGATAACATTTGCCAGCAAGAGACCGACTTCAGCATATTTAAGTTTTGCATACTGAAAAGGAGTAGTGTACAGAAGGTTGGCATATGCCATAAATTTCAGGCAACTTCAGGCTGTTTTACCTAGAAATCAATGCAGCTTACTCAGTGGCTGCAGTATACTAACGGGTCCTAATAAAGGAAATTCCTAAAATTCTTACTGTAACATAGGTTACAAAGAGGTTGATTCATGTACAAGCTTCATCAAGACAGACTACTCTAACCCAGAAATATTTTAAAGGAAATGTTTTTTAAAAGTATACCCACATTTTATATATAGAATATAAAACACTGAAACAAAGCCGGGGGGGAGGCGGACACACACTGATGGGACAACCTGGCAGAGACCTCAGCATTAGATTTAGACTGTACCTTCAGCAAAAAGGCAGAAAGTGTTTTGGGGGGTTTGTTTTGGGGTTTTGGTTTTTGGGAGTTTTTTGTTTGGCATTTGTTTGTTTTGTCAGGGTAGTTGTGGGTTTGTTGTTGGTTGTTTTTTTTTTTAAACAGAGTTTGGAATCTAGATTTTTGTCCTTAAAACATACACAGAGCATGTTTGCAGAAAGGAGGCAACACTCACTTTTCATGCAAGATAGCATTTAGGAATTATTCATTGTTTCAAGTGGGCTCCTCCCTCCAGGTAACCAGACAGACAGCGGGAGGGGGCCTTTTTAATGAAACTTTTTCAGACACACATGCAGATAAGAAGTAGTAATTCCAGTTCAGTTTTTTTAAAAATTAAAATGCCCAAATGATTTCGTCATACTCTGGTTTTATAAATCACAATGTTAAAGCCTTGCATATTTGGAAAAGGTATTTTACCCACAGAAGAGGTTTCTCAAATTTTCCCCATCAAACCCAAACTAACACTCTGACTGTATCCTATCAGCATGCAGCCATGCTGTGGACAGTCCATTTCTCAGAAACATCAACTCCAAGAAAGCAATTGCTTATCACATTCCTCCTTTACCCACGTATTTGCATTTCATCTCTGCTGTCAGTTAGGCCAAAGCCTCAAACATAAAAATTTGGTTTGTCTTGTCTTTGTTTACTGCTTCCAGGTTACAGAATTAGAATGAGAAAGAGATAAAAATTAAAAATTAAGAAATAAAATACATTGTCATGTCAGTTTTTCTGTATTCTTTCTTGGGTAAAGCTCTTCTGAGACCAAACCCCTGTTTTAAGCTGTAAACCAACTTGAAACAGCAGCACCAAGTGCAGACGAATTCTGCAGATATTAGGATTACAAACACAAATCTGGCCTCGGCCATTATACCTGTTTTGGCAAAACAGCACGTATGCAGTTTCAGGAGCAAAAAAAAAAAAAGAAAAAAATTTTTGCCAGTACAACTACAACAGCCAAGATGCTGGTTTCAACTACCTGGCTTCCCCTCCCCTCCTCAATCCCTTTTCTTCAGCCCATAACCCACAAACAAAACTTACAAAAATCTATTTTTAAGCAGCAGAAGGAACAAACATCTGGTACCCCCTTTCATCAAATGGCTTTAAAGATTAAACTCTGTAGCATTGTTTTTATAAGAAAGTAAAGTTCAATTTAATGTCTTCAAGAATAATTTCTTATTCATTTGTATTTTAAAGGAGTCATTAAAATAGGCATTTCCACATAAACAACCCCAAAGACAATTTCACCGGTCCTTTCGTACTGCAGGTCTCCCTGGGAGTTGCAAAGCACAGCCTGGCGCTGGATCCTGCGCTGCCGTGCGCCTGGGCAACATCGCCTTCTCTAGTCTACACCCGTCATTTTTTCATTACACCACAACAAACAGGATATTATTAGGCAGTGTAAGTTACTGCTTAGTGATTAACCCCCAGATAGCAGCCTTCTCCCCGCCTTAGATTCATCAGAACTCAAATGCTCAGTCTACGCTAATCTTGTTCTTCCATCGGTTTCCCAAAGGCAGCTAGCTCTACTTTGGCTAAGTTTTTCTTTAGAGAGAAGCATACAAGTAAAGGAACAGAATAAACAAATTCCGAGTAAAAACCTAGTATTAGAGTTTAAAGTAGAGTTTAGCTAGTTTATAAAACTTTCTGCTCAAACACATAACACCAATTATTAGCAGTTGGGGATTTGGAACAGCTTTTCCCTATGGGCAGGTTAAAGAATAGCTGCCTATTACTGAATGGTACTTTCCTCTGAAGTAGTCAAATCACACACAGCATAATGGACAGAGATGGATCCAATCTACATTAGGAAGCCCAATTTAAATTTTTTGGGGAAAAAAAAAAAAAGACCGCTTGCAAGACTAACTTACTCTGTCCATAAATTTTCCTAACGGAAGTCATTCATGCTGTCATGCTTCCTAAGCAACGGCTTGTATTAATGACGATAACAATCTAATATTCAAGTCTACAAAGTGACATCACCAGTATGATGAAACAGACGGGGTTTACTGTCACTTGCTTCATGAAAAGACAGCATTACAGTACACAGAGGGAAGGCCAGCCAGCATTAGTAAACACCTGTATGTGAGGAAGTGCCCCAACAGCCCTTTCCGAAAACCACCGGAGAGCGCAGTAACATTAACCCGTGGAGTGCACGTTAACCACATCCCCTCCTCTAACACAGACGTTTTCTGTACTCCAACCTACCTGCCTTACAAGGAGCTGGCTGCTCTCCCCAACAGCCACTGCCTGGGCCCTGCTAGCACTGCTCTTCCCTGCAGTCACGGAGCCCTTCCTTCCCCGTCCCCGCCGAGGCGGGGTTCAGAGCACAATCCTACCCGTTCACGAACAAAAACTAGAAGATACTGGAGTACAGTTGCTGCAATTCTTCACTTTTCTACTACATGAAACTTGATGCTACGTGCCAGATACTTTGAAGCATTCTACCCCAAAAATAGCAAAACCAGCTTGGGGCGGGTGGTGGGAGTCAGACTGCATCCGCTGGCAGTTTGTGCACGTATCTGGTTTTGTAAGAGAAAAGTCTTCTGGCGCTCCATCACTTACCCTTTTATAAAATGCCTTCACTGAGCTGGATCCACTTCACTTACTAGTCACCTCCGCTTCCTACATGACTCAGGTTTCAAGGCATGAAAGGAACAGGAGCCTCGGAAGGAGATAGAAACAAGTGGGAGAGCTCGGCCCATTTGTTAAGGAAGGCTGGAGAGAGGATCCGATTGCAACACCAGGAGCTGCACTGAGCTCGGTGTTCAACGGGTATGAGAAAGCCCTCCCAGGAAAGCGAAGAGAGCTACTCATTTAACTGCAGAGCAAAGCAGGTGCCACATCTAGGTCATGCCGACTACAGTAAAGCGAGCACAAGGTTGTGCAGCGATGTTTCTCCCAGCTGGATTGGGAACTACAAGTATACAGTTCTCATGTACCCAAAGTTTACACTGGACTGGTGGCAAAGCACCAATTCCCAAAACGTTCAGTTCCCAAGAGCACAATTTCTGTAACCGGCTTGTACAACCTAACAGTGAGACACAAAAGGCAGCACTGACCACTAGTTTTGCCCTTCTACTAAAAAAGATCAAAATTCATGGCTGAGGTTGGAGCGTACTCAGTGCTACAGGATGCAGTACTCCCAAAGAAGTTTGATTACTCAGACAAGTATTGAGCAACAAACTACAGTAAATATGAATCACCAAGATGCCCACGAGGCCATCTTCCACATGAACTGCAAAGTAGAGATCGACAATGACGTTCTCTGCTCCTTTCTAGAAGGGAGTAAGCAACTGGAAACACAGGAAGACTAGTGCTGATGGATACAGCTGGTTAAAAGAAGGCCACCCTCTAAGAACAAAGGATGTGTAGAACCACATTGCCCAATACATTAAACAGAAAATCTAGGGAAGATTGGAAAGACCTTGCTAATGCTTGGTGGGGCTTTTTGGTTTGGGTTTTTTTAGGGGGGTTTTGTGGGTTTGGTTTTTTGGGGTTTTTTTTCTTTTCAAGAGCTGTAAGGAAATTAGTTTTTCTCCATTTTCAAGTGACCAGATCGCACGTAACCCAACATCTGAAGGGAGCAAAAAAACAAAGTGACTCAGTTATAATTCTCTGTCATACAAGCACACCATGGCACAATTGAAAATGGCAGCACTGAAGTGGGGGAGAGCTGGCAGGAGCAGAGAAGATGCAAAAGAGATATTTAAGTAACTCTGCATTTTACTTTAATGACTGACATTATTGTAGTAATAGAAATTACTGGATACATCCAGATAATAACAAAACACAGCCACACATTATGCCGTTTAATAAAGTGTTGCGTCAGAAGGTATTTACGACAAGTTTCAAAATGCAGAAAGTATCAAAAGAGAAGAGGAAAAAACCCTCCATACATTCAAGAACACCTCAAAGACAAATTCAGGAAATCTCATAACAAAAGGGGACACAGCTCAGCCAACCATTAAATCCCTTCCCAAGTAGCACTTCACTAGCTAAGGCAAAGACAACATTGCTAGAGCTTAACTAAGCCTCAACCCAGCCTCAACTTTTCACAAACACTTGAGCATAGTCTGTAAAAACTTTACAGAATTTCACTATGCATTATCTACCTTTTTGTGGACAGGGATACATGACTTCAGCTGAGAGCAGGGAACTGTATCACGGGTGCCCTGTCTTTTTCCAGCTCTGAACAGATACACAGGGCCTTCCATTGGGGAAGCACAAGAGGATCATTGCAGCTGCTGAACCAAGAGCAGCAATCACTGCTCTAACAGTCAAGGCTGGGCAAGTGATCTTGTAAGCAAACATCTAATACTTACATAGTTTCAGCTACTCAGGGAATCATTCCACTAGCTTCACAGCCTCCTTCAAGCTCCCTGGATTCCACATGGGACACTGTAAAGACAAAAGATAACACAAATCTTGACATTTCGAAGAGGCTATGAAAACCATAAAATGCACCAAATCTCTCAGAAGCAACTATGCAT